TGTATCACGTTTGTCAACTTTATAAAACTGTATAAATTGACAAACAGGTCTAGGGGCGGGGCGGGGCGGGGCGGGGCGGTGCGTTAACATATTTTAATATCGTTATTTTTCCATAACTAATTAATTAAAGCTGCAGTACGTAAGTTTTGCCTCTTTGTCGCCATCTCTGTTTGAAACCTGCAATTGCAGTTACTTGCGGAATTATTTTCATTGCGTGGGTTGTGCGCAGGCAAGGCTCCAGCGCGGATGAATCTAATGTTTTGAGGTGAATGTGTGGCTGTCAGTCACCACACCGGTGTGGATACTGTAACGTTACTGAGGAATCACAGATTCTCGCCTACGTCTTGGAATATATGACCCAAATAAGCATTTTCACCGGATATTGTCATCTGAACAAGTAACAAGTCTGCCACGTTTGTTCTGACCAACTGAGGAAAAGAGCATTACAATAAATCGCGCTAGCAATGGTGATTAAATCTAACGATCGATTAGCTCATTTCACATCAAACCGTGCAAATGATTATTATACTTTGTTCTCAAATTGTTAGTGTTAACAACATCAGCACTGCAGATTTATGCTACAAGCTTTTGTAGAATTGTACAGTAAGAAAGTTATTTCCCTTAACCAGGAAATTAACATTCTTAGAATTGACAAGACAGTTGACCCTGAGAGGTCAGCTAAATATCTACAGCGGATCTAAAATATTCATAATTAATTATAACTAGTTATGGTTAATTATTCATATTTCCCATGAGCTGATTCGTTACAGCATTATGAAATTGTTTACTTATGGTTTGCATGCAGCTGCTGTCAGATTCAATACAGTTGGCTGCTTCATCTTTCAACCAATGTTTCTTTGTGTGTGAACTCTCCATACATTGTACCTCGTTTACAAAACAATATGCAGTCAAATGCCCCGAACAAACATATGGCCTAGCAATTAGAAATAAACCATCCATCCCTTCCCGATCCTTCCGAAGCCTGAAACCCAAATGTACTAATACGCAGGCGTAAAGCGACTAAATGCAAGTGGGCGTGGCCTATGGTGGGACAATGTGATAAAATGATTGGTCCATGCCTTGTCATATCCAAATATAGTCAAGTAGTAGACCAATTTGAAGTAGACGTCACGGTTACGACACTTGCAGCTGCCGCGCGCATAGTGGTGGGAGAAAAACACTGGTAACAAGTGGAGGGAAACGGGTAAAATCCATGGAATTAGAGAAAAAAAATATTTGTGTGCTTTAGAATGTCAGAATCGGAATGCAAATCATTTTTATCGAATACTGTCGTCAAAGACACCATTTGAAGCTAAATGCAGACGTTTAAACGGACAGACTATGGATAACTATTTAAAGCATACATTTGATTTAAACAATAGGTCTACATAATGTTCACATAGGCAGTTCATAGGAAACGTATTGTATTAGCTCTACAGTTACAGCATGAAATGAAATGAAATGTAGCCTATAGTCTGAATGCACTGTAAGTCGCTTTGGATAAAAGTGTCTGCTAAATGCATAAATTATTATTATTATTATTAATAATTATTAAATCATTTTAAACCTACTTATTAACATTTTACATAACATTTATGTATTTTATCTCACAATTCTGAATTTCTTTCTTGAAAATACAAGTTTATATGTCCTAGTTCGGAATTTATAACTCGATTTAACTCAGCAATAGCGAGTTTGTCAATTCTGAGCCAGAAGTCAGGGATATAAACTCATGATTTTGAGGGGAAAGAGAGAATGACGAGTTTTTCCTTATAAGAATTCTGAGATATAATCTTGGAATTGCGAGAATAAAGTCAGAATTTTGAAATATAAATATAAATCAAATTTGCCTCTTTTCCCCCCCTTTTATTCCAAGGCTTTCATAGGAACCCGTCATTTTCTGCCACCAGATAGGCTGTTTGTAAACACCGAACTGGTCTATAATGGTTGTAACTGATCTCGAGTTAGTTTTATAATTTAGTTTCAATTTTAAGTCAACAGATAGATGCTAGTTAATTGTTCTTATTGGCCTATATTTACCAAACCCTGGGTGAGATGACACAAAACAAGCACTATATAATAATAAAGAAGGACTCTTCATATTTAATGGCATTTCATTATTTGTATAGGCTACTTCATTAAATAGGTTATACTTTCTAGAAAACGTTTGTTTTATAAAAGTTGTTATAATCACTGATCTATATAGATTTGAAGTCAGTGGTTCTCAAAAGTTTGGTACTCAGGCTCGCTCTAGTGGTACACAGAGGAATCACAAAATTAAATATAAATTAATATTAAAACAATACATTTTAATCTAAACTCTACAGTTTTCTACAGTACAGTTTTATTTAACTTTAAGGTACAACACATTTTAATATAATCATTATTTAAGTTTTGTATTTACCTGTATGTAAGCACAGTGCAGTGTTAATGTTCAAACTGTGTATTTCCAATGTTAAAGTGGCTGACAAAAATAAATATTCTTATTAGGAATAAAACTGCCTCGTTTTTGAACTGTGCAGAGCGGATCCCATGCAATTATTAACAAATATTAACCCAAATAGTGTAAAATAACAGAATCAAAATGTATCAAAGTAAAATTGTGCAAGTTTGGAAGTTGAGACATCCCACATAAAAGACAGATTTGGGGACAGATTTGGCATTCTGCAGGCATTTTGCTCATCCCTAAATTTTGATCATTCATATCATATGTACTTCTTATTTCACTTACTTCGTATTGTAATCATATTATTCTATTAATGAACAGGCAAGTTTAATATATGATGGTGGTCCTATGGTGAGCACATTATTATTATCTTCAATGGTCACAATTTGCCATAGGGCAAACCAATTCAGGATACCAAAGCATAGTGATCAGGCTCCACCTGCCTGTCCAGAAACTGGATGATTTCAGGAGCCCTGCATCAGGCCTTGGTTTGCAAGAATTAACAGATCGACCTCCAGTGGAAGAGGTCTGGATGAACCGTCCTAGAATACAGACAGTTGTTATGATGGTTAGATGGATACTCAAACATGTCCTGGACAAACTGCTGACAATGGCAGATTGTCTACTTAAAAATCATTTAGAGTTTTTACACAGGTATATTTTGTTTACCTACATATACCTATGGTGTCTTATGATGTTCCCGTTTTAATAAATTAGTGTCTTTGATATTTTCTCTATAATCAGTAACAGGATATGTCATATGACAGTTCAGATCATGAAAGTACATGTTGGGAATTTCTGAAGGGAAGTTTCAGGAATGACCCATCAAACTCGCATAAAGAAGACACCACACTTTTATCTCAAAGTTGTGAAAAGATGTTCATTCCAGTTTACAACCTTGGAAAATGTCCAAAATATTTTGTTTTAAAAGTAATATGTGACATCACATGTTAAATACAAGAAATACTGCAAATGTATATAATACAATATACCTTGAGGACCCTAGGTAAACAAACATAGTGGTACCAAAAAACAAAGTACACACACATCTGTGAACAAAATAAGCATAATCCAGCAACTTACTCCAAAATTCTTTCAGTGCCATGGCTTAACATAATATCCGCTGCAAAATGTATACAAAAGAACACAAAATACTGAATGGTTTCTCATACTTTCCAGACTCCAAAAGCAGTCAGAATCAAAAGAGACGTAACTCCACAACATGGTCAGTAGTAAACAGGGTTTAAAAATGGAATAAGTGCCTCTTCAGTCATTAAATATTTAATAGTATCTTACCAATATAAAGCTTAGAACAGGTCGAAGTTCTAAATAGAAACTTTCAGACAAAATTTGTACAGGTGAAAACGGGTCAGTGTACTTGGTAATGTCACCAGCCTGCATAAACAGGCTCTGCATCACAAGGGACTCCATAGAAGCGGCCAGGTGGGCGGTCTTTTCGCAGGAGGGGCGTCCGAGCAAGGGAAAGCTCGCTGTCATGATATCTTCTCTTCCGCAGAACCAAAACGATGATGAAGAGAAGACCCACTGTGGAGGAGAAGAATTTAAAAGAGTGACAATTGATCTTTTGCTAAGCCCCGCCTTAAATCAATCTTAAAATCTAATACTGACCAATATGTTAAGTTAAATAATCATTTCAGCTTGTGTGACCGAGTACGTTTACCACTGTTCAGCAAATTATTGAGGGCAAAATCCAGTAGGGAACTCGCGATCTGGAATTTTGCATGATGAGAGCAAAAGATTTCTCAACAGATTTCACAATGGTTAAAAAAGTTATCATGACGGACAAAAAGCTGCTTGGTTTGAAAGTGATTTCAGTGTGAACTGTGCTTTATGCATCGCTACGCTATTGACAATATACACCATGGACCTTTCACAGTGGCTGGCGAAATTCTGCCGAAATGTCACTAATGTGTGTAAATAAAGAGGCGGAGCTTAGCAAAAAGACTTGACGTGATTGAAACTGACGTTTTTCAAATTTTGGTGTGATGTAAACATTTATACCTCCTCCTCCAATAACAAGCAGTGCAATGGTAACAGGAGCAAGTTCACACGTCTCCCCTGCCTTTCTGAAGAAGGTCTCCATGCAGTAACCAGGGGCCGTGCTGCCCTCAGGACAGAACGCATCAGTGGGACACTGAATCGGATTTACATCAGGACTCTGGGATACAGACAGAGGTACATTTATTTTCTTAGATAAACAAGGAAGTATTAAAAAACTACAGTATAAGATTTGCATGTAGAAAGAGGAAACTGTGGGTGCTGTGTGTACATTAATGAGGAAAAAAAATGAACTTAAATGATTTTAGCAAATGGCTGCAATATAACAAAGAGTGAAAAATTTAAGGGGGTCTGAATACTTTCCGTACCCACTGTATATATATATATACAAAATTCTAATGAATCTAAATTCTAATTACCCCTCAATATATTTTAATATGTAGTTGCATATTTTTTCTCCACCCTCAATGTGTCAGTTTATTTACATAAAGCAAAAAAAATGTAATTAGAATAAACTGAATGAATGCATGATATATCACTTGTTACCTGGTGCACATGCTGTACAGGAAGCAGAGCCTGTGTTATTGCTGTAGGACCCAGTAGGGCACGGCTGGCAGACAGGGCTTCCAGTGGAACTAATGAAACAAATTATTAAAGCACGGTTGACATAGAAAGATTGCTTATGCTTTAAATAAACAACAGCGTAATACTTTCTCCTCTTACTTGCTGTAAAAGCCAGATGAACAGGGCAGACAGCCCTGCTGTGCTGCTAGAGGTTGATAGAAACCCTGGACGCACAGAAGACAGGCTCCAGGTAACACACACAGGCCTGCCTCGGGACAGCAGGAACACAACAGAGTTTCTGAGAACACAGAGAGAGAGAGTAAGTGCATGTGTCAACTTCAACTTTTAAGGCAACATGAAATCAAAATGAACCCAATTCACGTTCCTAACACATAAAAAAGCACCCACCGTTATCATAATAAGAGCCAGGAGCGCAGGCCATGCAGGTGGAGGTGTTGAGGCCGGAGCAGCTGGGCCCTGTAGTGCTCATGCTTGCACTGACTGTGGTGACCGTCACAGCAGGACTGAGTGTTGTCTGACTCATCACCACTCCTACACAACGATAGAGTTCAAATAAATCATATGATAATCATTAAAATTATGCTTTTAAGAAAAAGCATAATTATGCTTTTAAAGGCTTAGGTCACCCAAAAACAGTCTGTCATTGTGTAATTATCCACATGCGATTCAAAAATCCAAATTATTTTCGTTTTATTTCTTATGTAAAGCCAAAAAAAAACATTTTGCACAATGTTCATGTTTCTCTTTTCCATACCATGAATACAGACAGTGACTGTAAAGCTCCAAAAAAGGACGACAAAGCCCAAAAAAGTCATCCAAACCTGTGCGAGGAATGAAACCAAAATGGTTTTTATTTGAAAATTAAAAAAATGTCCACAAAACTAATAAGCAGCACAGACATTTCATCATTGATAAAAATAATAAATTATTTCTTAAGCACCAAATCAGCATATTAAAATGATTTCTGAAGGATCATGTGACACCGAACATGCTAAAAATTCAGCTTTGCCATCACCAAAATAAATGTAAAAAATGTTACAATTTATAAAGAGAATTTTATTTTAAATTGTAATTAAACTATTTCACAATATCACTGTTTTTACTGTATTTTTGATCAAATAAATGCAGCCTTAGTGAGCATATACAACTTTTTCAAAAACGTTTTTTAAAAACTGTTGTGCTGATGGTCATCTTTACTGAACTAGACCCTAATTTAGTCTTATTCCTGTTGAAAAAAAACAGCATATGCTGGTTAGGTATGTTTTGACACTGGGATGCTTTGCTGGTTTATGCTGGTCCTTTTGCTGGTTTATGCTGGTCATGTGCTGGTTTATGCTGGTCATGTGCTGGTTTATGCTGGTCATGTGCTGGTTTATGCTGGTCATGTGCTGGTTTATGCTGGTCATGTGCTGGTTTATGCTGGTCATGTGCTGGTTTATGCTGGTCATGTGCTGGTTTATGCTGGTCATGTGCTGGTTTATGCTGGTCATGTGCTGGTTTATGCTGGTCATGTGCTGGTTTATGCTGGTCATGTGCTGGTTTATGCTGGTCATGTGCTGGTTTATGCTGGTCATGTGCTGGTTTATGCTGGTCCTTTTGCTGGTTTATGCTGGTCCTTTTGCTGGTCATGTGCTGGTTTATGCTGGTCCTTTTTGCTGGTCCTTTGCTGGTTTATGTTGGTCCTTTTGCTGGTTTCCATGAGGCCGGTCACCCACAGTGACACAAACACCCACTGAAGTAATACAATTATTCTGAGGAGACGGTCATATGACTCGATTTCACTCCAGAAATACTAAGAACAAGTGAGGGACCTAGAAACCATGTTTCTGTTTGTTCTCTTCCGGGCTTTTACAACTTACTCGGAGGAAAATAGTTTACTCTTACTGACTTGTTAATCAACTTTTCAGAACATTTGAACTTTGAATGTTCTTTTGAATGGGTAGTTTGACAAATGAATGAATCAGAGGTCATAAAAACATAAATATGTCACGCTACAGAACACTGCTGTCACTGTATGACATGCCAATAACACAAATAGTCTTTGTTTACTGTACAGCAGAGCCGTGTATTGATTTTGGTCTAAAGATTTGCAGGTTTAGGCCTGTCTTAGTAATCAAGAAGAATGTTGTTGGTAAAATATCTCAAAGATGTACTAAATGTGTCTCTGTATTGAAAAACAACAAACAAACAAATACATGCATACATTGTGGGAACTGATTTTTAAAAACACAAACACAATTATACATATATATAAACATATTAAACATTAGGTTACAAATAAATATTGCCTAGATAGACGTTTAATATGATTGATTTTGGGGGGGAAAATTACAAAAAATAAATAAAAAAAGTTGTCAACTAACCAGACATACCAAGATACAAAATGTAGGCTAATCGAAATGTACACACATGACTATTTTAGCATGCGTGTTATTTTTTTTAGGATTACTGATCAACTAATGTACCGCAGTTTGATTTGTATTAGTTATCTATTTTAGTTTTAGTTACAGTTGTAGTAATGTTGTCATTTTATTCGTTTTTTATTATGTCTATATAGGTTTTTTATTAAGTTTTAGTTTTATTTAATTTAAGTTATTTCAGTACTTCAACATACAAAATGGAAATGAAATAATATATATATATTGAATGTATTTATATATATATATATATATGTGTACATGTATATGTATATGTGTGTGGCTGTACATACACATATGTAGTTGTTTTTTGCTGTTTGGCTTCGTGTTATGTTAGAATCATTATCATGGTCCTTTTGCTGGTCATGTGCTGGTTTATGCTGGTCCTTTTTGCTGGTCCTTTGCTGGTTTATGTTGGTCCTTTTGCTGGTTTATGCTGGTGATGTGCTGGTTTATGCTGGTCCTTTTGCTGGTTTATGCTGGTCCTTTTGCTGGTTATGTGCTGAAAAAGGACCAGCATAAACCAGCAAAAGGACCAGTTTAAACCAGCAAAGGACCAGCATAAACCAGCAAAGGACCAGCATAAACCAGCTTAAACCAGCAAAGGACCAGTTTAAACCAGCAAAGGATCAGCATAAACCAGCAAAGGACCAGTTTAAACCAGCAAAGGACCAGCATAAACCAGCAAAGGACCAGCTTAAACCAGCATCCCAGCGTCAAAACATACCTAACCAGCATATGCTGGTTTTTTCAACAGGGTGTGAACTGTAAACGTCTTATAAAGCACAAAGGAGGTTTTTAAAAGTAGTAAATATGACAAGATTTCTCTATTTTGCCTAAATACTGCTCAACTTTTTGGCAAGTTTTGTTTAAAGGTCTATTGTAATAGCATCACATGAATCATACTCGCATTCCTTCGATTGTGTATGTGTGTTTATTGTCTGTTGGTGTATACTGTAAATGGCACCGCATGGTTGTTAACCATCAGCAGAAAGGCAAACAGAGTCCTTATTGTGAATGTAATCACATTAGCCATGAGGCCGGTCACCCACAGTGACACAAACACCCACTGAAGTAATACAATTATTCTGAGGAGACGGTCATATGACTCGATTTCACTCCAGAAATACTAAGAACAAGTGAGGGACCTAGAAACCATGTTTCTGTTTGTTCTCTTCCGGGCTTTTACAACTTACTCGGAGGAAAATAGTTTACTCTTACTGACTTGTTAATCAACTTTTCAGAACATTTGAACTTTGAATGTTCTTTTGAATGGGTAGTTTGACAAATGAATGAATCAGAGGTCATAAAAACATAAATATGTCACGCTACAGAACACTGCTGTCACTGTATGACATGCCAATAACACAAATAGTCTTTGTTTACTGTACAGCAGAGCCGTGCATTGATTTTGGTCTAAAGATTTGCAGGTTTAGGCCTGTCTTAGTAATCAAGAAGAATGTTGTTGGTAAAATATCTCAAAGATGTACTAAATGTGTCTCTGTATTGAAAAACAACAAACATACAAATACATGCATACATTGTGGGAACTGATTTTTAAAAACACAAACACAATTATACATATATATAAACATATTAAACATTAGGTTACAAATAAATATTGCCTAGATAGACGTTTAATATGATTGATTTTGGGGGGGAAAATTACAAAAAATAAATAAAAAAAGTTGTCAACTAACCAGACATACCAAGATACAAAATGTAGGCTAATCGAAATGTACACACATGACTATTTTAGCATGCGTGTTATTTTTTTTAGGATTACTGATCAACTAATGTACCGCAGTTTGATTTGTATTAGTTATCTATTTTAGTTTTAGTTACAGTTGTAGTAATGTTGTCATTTTATTCGTTTTTTATTATGTCTATATAGGTTTTTTATTAAGTTTTAGTTTTATTTAATTTAAGTTATTTCAGTACTTCAACATACAAAATGGAAATGAAATAATATATATATATTGAATGTATTTATATATATATATATATATGTGTACATGTATATGTATATGTGTGTGGCTGTACATACACATATGTAGTTGTTTTTTGCTGTTTGGCTTCGTGTTATGTTAGAATCATTATCATACTCATACCTTTTGTTCTTTTCATATTTTGAATTGTTTTTAGCTTTATTTATTTTTTTGTTTTCATTTAAATGTTTAGTTTTGAAATGTTGTTGTATGCATTTGTCATTTTTATTTAATTTCTTTTCTTTTCTTAAATGTGTGTGTATATATATATAGTATTTACAGAGTTTTCGCTCTTAGTTTGAATGACTTTTTCTCATTTGTAAGTCGCTTTGGATAAAAGCGTCTGCTAAATGACTAAAAGTAAAGTAAAATGTACATGGTTCATTCACAAGGAGAAATGTTGCTGCCGTTCAAAAAGTGAAACCTTTACATTTTTCTTCACGACCATGACACTTCAATACATTTTAAAATATTAGTCCAACGATAAAAGTTAAATACTAAAATGTGTTTTGACATTGCGCTAAATCACATTTATCTGTTAATCTGCAGTTTCTGAAACTCACCAAAAACACAAGCGGTGGCGAGAACAGACCAAACTCCCAAACGCTCCATGATCCAGCGGTTTACCTCAGGAGTCGCCACATCTGTCTATCCACCTGACTGCATCACGACAGACGACAGTATTAGTGTATTATTGAGAACTGTCGAAGATTTCTGCTCTCATTCCCTCTGTCTTGGGCTCATCAATGTCATATGACTCTAATCATGTGATCAGTCACATTCCTAAACAAAGACCGAAACGATGCACAAACTAGTCTACAAACACTCTGTAAACATGAACTAAACTGATCCAGATGTTAGGCGTACTATTTAGCGTGGGTGACACATTAACCAGCTGGACGCGATTAAAGGGCCAGCAGAGTTTCTGAACTGAGGACATTTTTGAAGTTCCGCCCTTAAGTTACTATGGTAACTGTAGTTCTCACACTCACACACACACACACACACACACACACAAAGTCTGGTCAGCTATACTAGTGGGGACTCTCTATAGGCGTAATGGTTTTTATACTGTACAGACCCTATATTCTGTTGCCCTACACCAACCCTACCCCTCACAGCAAACTTTCTGCATTTTAAGATTTTCAAAAAACTTAATTCTGTAAGATTTATTAGCTTTTGTACCCGTGGGGACCACAATTTAGGTCCCCACCGTGACACGGGTCCCCATGAGTCTGTGTGTAGTCAGGTTTAAGTCCCCACCAGGATATATAAACCAGTACACACACACACAGTCTGGTCAGCTATACTTGTGGGGACTCTCTATAGGCGTAATGGTTTTTATACTGTACAGACCCTATATTCTGTTGCCCTACACCAACCCTACCCCTAAACCTACCCCTCACAGCAAACTTTCTGCATTTT